TCCATTCTTACGTGTGCATGCCTTGATCCCAACGTGCCGAGGTATCAGTACGAGGTCTAGCTCAGGATACTTCCAAAATATGAGCTTGACTTGGCCGATGTCGAGGTAATGATGCCGAGCCCTGAAGAAACACTTAGCGCGTATCGCAACATATTTGGGCCCGTATCGACCATGTCGCCTTCCGGAAGCAGTAACTTTCGACCCACGACTCCAAATGATCTGAGACCAGTTTCATAGTCAAGGTGACTCAATAAACTCGAACTTTGGTGAAGAAACCGTCGGAGCTTGGGTAGTGGAAGTCTTCCTGGATTTCACATCTTTGAACCGCATCGAAATCACCGGAAAATAAGCTGTTTGGACCGATGTGAACTCCGGAGACTTTATCTTTCAAACCACTCGTCCGAATTGAGCGATCCCTACTGTTCTGAAAAGGTCTTTCACAGATCTCAAACTTTTATGAAGACCGGGCAAGCTGATTTGGTCCGGAAAAGCTCCGTCCGCCGTGACCTTTGTACTTCGCCGTTCAGTTCTCGGATGCGCGTAATGTTGGTGCATCTTCCGGAAGCTGTATCTTTCTCCCTACTGGTCCGAATTGGATGATTCCAACTGTTCTGGGATCTTTGTTTGATTATCTCCAACTTTGCTGAAGACCCCGCCAACTGATTCGGACCGGAAGGTTCCCCGGATTTCATATCTTTGAATTGCGCAGACAAGGACAGATTTTGGTCGAGAAAAGCTTCCCGCGGTAAGAAAAATGACCGAGGGCTGTGTACCGCGGTGAGCTTTTTGGTCGTAAAAATTCTTTCGCCTCGGCCAAAACTCAACCCGCGGTATTAACGCCTGATCTTCGACCCTGGCTGACTTTGGTCGATCGGTACGGATTTTGGCCGGTAATGAGCGATCGGTAAGGATTTTGACCGAGGTTTCTGTCCGTCCGGTACGCGATTTGGCCGAGAAATTCCTCCAAGCGGTTTTCACCATTTTTGACCGTTTTCTTCACCGTCTTCTTCTCTCCTCCTCTTCTTAAGCTCCAAATGACTCCCAAAGCACCTGATAAAGACCTCAAAACATGCAAAACTCTTTGGGACCTAATGCAAGCCCTAAATCCTATTTTCATGCCTAAAGACTCAATTTACGTGGGAAAACACATGATGAGGACTCTAAAATGCACTCTAAATGATGTAAAATATAGACATATCATGTGTCCAGATGATGTACACAAAACAGCATTCAAAACCCATAGTGGGCATTTTGAATACATCGTTATGCCATTTGGCTTGACTAACGCACCAGCAACGTTTCAAGGGTTGATGAATGCAGTATTCAAGGAGTTCTTAAGGAAGTTTGTGTTAATCTTCTTTGATGACATATTAATCTACAGCAACTCTTTGGAAACTCATTTGATACATTTGAGACAAGTTTTCGAGGTTATGAGGAAGCAACAATTGTTTGCCAAAGAGAGTAAATGCGCTTTTGCTACCAACAAAGTGGAATATCTTGGTCATTTCATTGAGGCAAAGGGTGTTTCTACGGACCTAGCAAAAGTCAAGGCAGTTAAGGAATGACCTCAACCGAAGAACTTGAAACAACTGAGGGGATTCTTAGGCCTAGCTGGTTATTACAGACGTTTTGTAAAGAACTTTGGGACCATCGCAAGACCATTAACTCAGTTAACAAAGAAAGATTCATTTCTCTGGTCAGATAAAGCACATACGGCTTTTGAAACGTTGAAACAAGCTTTATGTAATGCCCCAGTCTTGGCTCTTCCTCGATTTGATAAACCATTTTTGGTGGAAACTGATGCAAGCGGACAAGGAATAGGTGCTGTCCTGATGCAGGAAGGTCATCCCCTAGCTTACATCAGTAGACACTTAACGGGCAAACAACTTCATCTCTCCATATATGAAAAGGAATTATTGGCTGTGGTTTTTGCTGTGCAGAAGTGGAGACACTATCTACTTAATGATCACTTCATTATAAAGACTGATCAAAGAAGTTTGAAGTACTTGTTAGAACAGAGGCTGAATACTCCGATTCAACAGCAATGGTTACCGAAGCTATTGGAATTTGACTATGAGATACAATACAAAGTGGGCAAAGAAAACTTGGTTGCAGATGCGTTATCTCGAGTTGAAGGCACTGAAATCTTACATATGGCTTTATCAGTGGTGGATTGCGATTTGATGAAGCAAATTCAGGCAGGGTATGAAACGGATGGAGTTCTCAAGGCTCTAATTACAGAATTGGTAAATAAGCCGAATTCAAAGAAGCATTATGTATGGTCTCAGAACATTCTCAGACGAAAGAGCAAGATTGTGATCCCTACGGAATGTACACTAAAGACCATGATACTGAAATGGCTTCATTGCTCAGGTGTGGGTGGTCACTCTGGTCGAGATGCAACACATCAGAGAGTCAAGAGTCTTTTTTATTGGAAAGGTATGGCAAAAGATATCCAGGAATTCATACGAAGCTGTTCTGTATGTCAGCAATGCAAATATGACAATGCAGCATCACCATGATTACTTCAACCATTACCAATTCCATCATCAGTATGGACAAATATATCAATGGACTTCATTGATGGCCTGCCTCTCTCATTTGGGAAATCAGTTATAATGGTAGTGGTTGATCGTCTAACGAAAGCAGCTCATTTTGTTGCATTGAGTCACCCCTATACAGCTGTAACGGTTGCCCAGGCTTTTTTGGATAACATATTCAAATTTCATGGGTTACCAGCCTCTATAGTGAGTGACCGAGATGCCATATTTCTCAGTGAATTTTGGAGAGAATTGTTCACACTACAAGGAGTAGCCCTTAATTACTCAAGTGCATATCACCCACAAAGCGACGGACAAACGGAGGTGGTGAACCGTTGATTAGAAACTTATTTGAGGTGCATGTGTAGTGATCGGCCATATGGAGCAAATGGATTCCTTTAGCTGAGTATTGGTATAATACTAGCTTTCATTCTTCCACACAAATGACACCTTATGAAGCAGTTTATGGACAACCTCCTCCTCAACATCTTCCATATCTTCCTGATGAATCGAAGGTTGCAGTGGTTGCCAGGAATTTACAGGAGAAGGAGCAAATGTTGTTGATTCTGAAGTTTCATTTGCTTAGAGCTCAACACCGCATGGAACAACATGCTAACAGGAAGCGTTCTGAACGAAGTTTTGCTATCGGTGATTTTGTCTTTGTAAAACTTCAACCATATAGACAAGGTTCAGTGGTGGTAAGAACAAATCAGAAGTTAGCTCCTAAATATTATGGTCCTTACAAGGTGATAGACAAATGTGGAAAAGTTGCTTATAAACTGGAGTTACCACCAACTTCGAGGATTCATCCAGTTTTTCACGTTTCTCAGCTCAAGCTACGAGTGGGTGATGTTCCAATAAGCACTCAATTACCATCAGCTGTAAGCGATGTTCTGGTTAAGGAACCTGAGAGAATCATGGATGTAAGATGGTGAATAGGCAAGGCCGTGCTGCTACAAAGGTGTTGGTAAAATGGACTGGCGAGGATGAATCTGAAGCAACTTGGGAATTTCTGTTTGAATTGTTGCAGAAATTTCCTTCGTTCCAACCATGAGGACATGGTTGCTTGGAGGGGAAGAATTTGATATAGTAAATAATACGCAGCAACTATACGGACACGTGGACGGTGGAACTTGAAAGAAGAATCTACGGTGGAGATTTAATGGAAGAAGTAACAGATATTTAGCTGAGTCAAGACGAAGAAGAAGATTCATTCTGAGAAAGTTTGTTACAGTTTCTTCTCATCTGGATATTCTCTCTTGTAATTCTCAGTTCTTCCTCTACATTGAATCTTTCTGTATCCAGATTCTTGTAAATAGAACTATTGGATTCTTTGTTTGTATTGAACATTGGATTCAAGTTTGGTGAAATCGAATATAATTGGATTTGTGTGTATCAAAAAGAGGTATATCGAGTCGCTGTAATCAGGATGTCGATTTAATTAATGAGTTTATGTTGTTGCAGCTCGCAGGTGATAGTTTATGTGTTTTCATGTATGATTAATTGGCTGAGGGACAAATTGTTCTTTGATAAATCGGACACAGTCACTCAAGGTTGCTTTTTTTTTTTTTTTTTTTTAAGTTTCCTTAGCACTTATAGAGTTCAAGCTAACCGCTAAGTCTTTGCTGCTGCATATTTCAACAATGTTGATTGCACATAGGCACCACATCATAAGCTAGCCCTTATCACGTTTTGTAGGTTATGTAAAATAGATCTCCAGCGATATGATTCCCACACTATTAAGGAGCATACTTTCACGTTTGACTCAATTGCTGACCCGGAGTCAACACAAGTAAGTATTTGGCTTCCAATAACAGTTCCCTAAATCCTAGAGAAGCTAACAAAACAGAACATAAAGTAGGATCATACCAGAGCATTTCTCTTCTGATAGATCCTGCTAGAACCTTTTCCGTTGCCTGTAAGGTGCATAATACCCCAAAATCCCAAATCATATTGTTATATGATATAAAAAGCATAACAAGAAAACCACCATTCTTACTTTAGGAACTTGGCACTTGGAATTTTCTGTACCTTTTGAGTTGTCCACAGGTACTAACTCAAGATCTGAAGTGTCACTTGTTTCTTGAGCAATCATATTTGGATTTACTGCACAGTACTTCTTTCGGGCTCTCTTCCCTACTATATCAGCTTGCAACTACATCAGCCTTACTTAAACCTATTGAAGGCTTAGCATTCTAGAGCTCTGTAGGGAAACCTCAACGTCAATACAATAACTGCACAAATCAAACCATTTAGTCGCTGGAAAATCTGTTTGCAAACGTATTTTCCGACAAGAAACAAGAAACTAGATAGACTATTATTACTCTAGGCTTGAGTAAAAAATATCTAATAGTTGCTGCATGAATAATTAATGGGTTCGTATGATTTCCAGTAGTGACCAATGTGATGGGTTCTTATCATTTCCTGTACCAATCATTCTGTGAGCTAATAAAAATGGTGTTATGAGCAGAGTGATGAATCAGGTCTAAGAAAGTAGCATAGCTTCAGTTTTTATACATGTTAGGGAAAACAAATGAAAAAATTGATTCTATTTCTCGAAAAAAAGTTTTAATAACTGGTATCAAAATAGCCTTTGAGACAGGGACCAGACCATATGACAAGACAGTCTTTGAGCTCTCTATTTACTACTGCCATCCATATTGTTGGTTTCTAGCACCACCCATTGGGTTCTGTCCTCTTCCAGAGCCACCATACTGACCACCATCATGTGAGTAGTTAGGCGGTCCAACACCATACCGACTGCTAGGTCCTCTAGGATCGGCACCATATGGTGCACCTCGACCTTGTGGAGGAAATGATCCGTTGCTGTAACCTCCACGGCTCTGATTATTATAACCTCCAGTCTGGTTTCCGCTATGATGGTACCGGTTTGGATCAGGTGCATCACCACGGGGTTTTTGATAGTAGTGGTGGCCACTAGGTCCAGCAGCAGGTAGTTGAGGTGGTGGTGCGTTGTTAATAGGGAGGTTTGGTCCGGCAGGCCAGTGTTGCTGTGGAGGCAACCGAGAGTGTTGCTGTGGAGGCAACCGAGATTGTTGCTGCTGCGGATGCTGCAGTTTCCGTTTTTTGGCTGCTTCCTCATTATGACGCATCTCTTGCCGCTTTCTCTTTGTCTGGAACTCATGTGATGATTCATATTTGGGTAGACTGTTTGAAGGACATGGAACATTGTCAGGTCATATGCACCAAATGAATTTTCATAAACAATAACAAACTTAGAGAATTCGATTACCTCTTTGGATCGCACGGCAACGGATCAGTCCAAAAGTACTCTGCATCAAGAGCATCCTTTGCAGATATTCTCTGCACCAACAAAAATGAACTAAGGCTCTTTAATTTCTGCAGTTTTGGTAATATTTCAGATAATTTTGGTACCTCAGACGGGTCAAGCACCAACATCTTTTCCAGTAGTTCCAGGGCATGGCGATCAAAGCTTATAGTAGAAGAGAAAAAGCCAAAATGAGATCTCTCCTGTATCAAACTAAATTGTCGCAACTACATAATGGCATCTACTTACCTCCAGAAGGTCTCCCTCACACGTCTCTTCAAGGGCCGAGATGATTTCATTGGGTTGTACCAAGGCATCTTCGAAACCCCAGGCCAGTTGTTTTCATCAGGTGATCCACAAAGTTCATAAATTTTGGTCAATTGTTCACTCTGGAGAAAGAAACATTTGAGTAAAATGCTGTTAGTGAATTAATCATCTAACGGCATACCGGAGATGTACCAAATATGAAAAACCTGACCTCAGTTTTGCCAGGCAAGATTGGTTTCCCATTCAAAAGTTCAGCAAATAAGCAACCAACCGACCACATGTCAACCGCTGGTCCATATTTTGTGGCACCGAGTAGCAATTCAGGGGGCCTACCGCAATAACCGATATATAGAGAAAGTAGTCACGATTCACGAAGATGCAAAAATAAGCAAGACTTATTCTCTTTTTGATGTATATAGCTTCAAGTATGCATACATACCTATACCACAATGTGATGACACGGTTTGTAAGATTTCCAGAATGATCATGAGAAAATGACCGTGCAAGCCCAAAATCAGCAAGCTTTAATTTTCCCTCATTGTCAATAAGGAGATTGGAACCTGCATCAATCATAGGTTAACATAGCAAATAAAGGCGAGAGAACCAAACCGTCAAGAATGTATTTTGGGGATAGTCACCTTTAATATCACGGTGAAGCACTTGATTCACATGACAATAGTGAAGCCCAGTGAGCAGTTGCTTCATGTAACACTTCATGTCGAAATGACAGACAAAGTTAGAGCCAAAATAGCTTTTGCAAAAGGCTACACCAAAGTATCTAAGCCACGCAATACCTTGATCTGAGGAACTGTAAATCTCAGTTTAGAACGATCAGCAAGTCCAGTCAAGTCATGATCCATGTACTCAAAGACCATGTAGATTCCACCCTCGTCTTTGTTATTATCTAAAAATAGGACCAAAGACTCAAGCTTTAGGCCACTGCAAGGACTTTTAATAGACTCAAATATCAAACTTAAGGCCCCTTAACGGAAATTCTAAAGTAAGTTTCAGGATAAGACAAGTGTTCCTTCTTACCAGGAGAAGTTACAATCTCTTTCAATTGGATGACGTTTTCATGATGCAGCTTCTTCAGAATTCTGATCTCCCGGATCGCTGTTATGGGAAACTTCAAGCAAAAAAAGTGATTAGAGAACTATATATAAAAGTCATGTGGATTCACAAACTTTAAGCTATTAGTCAGATGTAGTAGCTTACCCCTTCTCTTTCATTGTCCATACGGATCTTTTTAAGAGCCACGATTTCACCAGTTTTGATATCTTTAGCCATGTAAACTAGACTGCCAAATCAAAGCCAAACATATGAACACAGAGCTCACTTATCTACAATATCAAGCATTATGATAATCACACAAATCCGATTTCTACATGTTCTGAGAACCAATTCTTAAGAAATCTAAGAATCCCAATCCACTCAATCAACAAAATACAGAAATCAAGTTTGTTGAGAATAGACGAAAGGCCGAAATTCGGCAAAAATCAACAATATTATAGATCAATACTCGAACATAACAATCACAATCGCGAGAAAAGAGAGAAGAAATTGAGAAGAGAAGATGCATACCCGTAAGTTCCTTCGCCACACTGTTCTAGCTTCTCGTAGCAATCGAGACTACGAGAACCCCAAATCGGAGGGGGCTCCTCGAGATTCAACTGCCCTAAAGCCGCAATCGCCATTCTTTCCTTGCGTCTAATAGAGAATTACACACAATATACCGACGAATTTCTGAGATGATTTAATTTCGCCCTTGGTGGGAAAACCTAAGCCTTTAACCCCTTTCGGTGTCAGTTTCGCGGGAAAACCTAAGCGTTCGCAAAATTTGTTATCTTCCAATTCTTAATTCTCGGGTTTAAGTTAATTTAATTTAATAATCCAAAATATTATAGAAACAAAAAGTTTCCTTTTTATTTTTATTCTTCTTTTCTTATTTTTTTGTTAATCACAGATCTTATTTTTTTTCTTTTTCAATATGTTTTCCAGTAAATACATCTTTTAATCTCTCATTCAAATTATTTTATGATAAACATGTAGGATTTTTCTCTCTCGAATCTTTCAGAGAGAGAAATACATCATTTTGTTTATATCTCCCGATCTCGATCGGATTCTCCTCCGACTATATTTGGTTAATAAATAATGTTTATCAGAACTTTTTTTTTTATTAGTTAGTTTGTTTTGTCTGTCTTCCCCTTCTGCGGGATTTCTGTTCTATCAATTTCCGGGAGGTTGGACGGCGCTTTGTCTTCTAAATGATCGCTCTTTCTTCCACATGATTATAATTTCTCGCTCTCCCGTCGTGCCTCTCTTTTTGAAGATTGTATTAAGCGTTGGTTTTCCGTGGTAAATTGATCGAGGTGAAGCGGCGGCTTAGAGCGGAGTATGAAGAATCAGAGTTCTCATCGTGTTTTGATGGCTCTTCGAAGAATATTTCGTCTCTAATCAGCTGAGGTGAAATCTCCGGTAGCCAAATTTCAAGTCCGTCTTTTTCATATGCAGAAGGAGTTTGGTACAATCGAAGGTTAAAGGAATCGAGGTTTCATGGAGGGATTTGAATAACCTAGCTGGCCGGGGGTGGTCTTCTCCGGTGAAGAAACTTATGTCGGGAATGAAAACTTTGATCGCTTTCAAAGCTACATCTTGCATTACACGTGTCGTTAGTTTGTGTATCCTTATCTTGTTGTTTTACACGTAGTGAGCTTATATGGGCATTTGTTATTGTACCTTTGTTATGTCCAGTTGAGCTTTAATGAAAAGTGAGTTGACAAAAAAAAAATCTCTCATTCATTTTTTTCTAGAGGCCCCAAATATTTTTTTTTTCTTTTTTCTGTCTTTCATCTGTGTGTCTCTCTCTCTGTCTCTTTCTATCCTGCTCGAAAACCCTAGCCACCGTGAGATGTATTTTCTTCTTTGCCGAGCTCTTCCATGGACTTTAACGATGATTTCGTCACTCCTCCTCCTCATCCTCCTCCTCCTTATGTGTGCTGCTGCCTCCTCCTGAATCAATGTGAATACTTGTTACCTCTCACTCTCTTTCAAAATCATGTAAACTATTTTTGATAAGTATTTTCTTAAACCATGGTTCTCTGCTAAGAAAGCTATCTGATTTGTTTAGTATTTATTTTTGATTTGCCAATAAGGTTTAATTATAACTGATTGTTACTTGGTTTACACGATTCTATGATATTAACTTGAGACTTATGGAACAATAAAACCTGGAATTGATTGATAACTTGTTTTATGATCCCATAGTTACAACTTGGTATGAGTAATGTTTGTGAATCTTGAATATAGAGCATGTAAATGTGGATCAGGCGTGAACCGGTATTTCTTGATGATAGAGCTTTGAGTCAAAATGATGCTTGAAGTGCTAGGTATCCGTCTAACAGCAATGGGATTGCATGTGGTACATAGTGCAAGTCAGTTGTCACCGCTTGAGGTTTTGGCGAGTCTCAATAATGTGGTGACAGTCTGATCTCAGTTAGTTTTTTTAGAGAAAGGCAAGGGTCGAATATCAAAGTTATTAGTGAAGTCTCTTTGCGACATAGGTCACATTCGGGTGTGGTTGAGCAAAGGGCTCGTGATGAGATGGTTGTGGAACAAGTTTGGTGGAGCAATGGATTCGAGAAATGAATTGAGGATCAAAGTGAGTTGTTTTATGTGGAATCTCACTTATTTGTATTGTTTCAAGATTAAACTTTTATAATAATTATTTCGCGTAAATGTCTGAAAGTGAAATGTGAATCCCTATAAGGCTCATCCTCACTGAGTACTCCCAAATTATTCACCCCCTCTTCTTTCTTTTTCTTACATGTTAGCATGATCATGAAAGTCTTATATTGTTGAGTGTGCAGGCGTTTTCCTAGCAATTTTGTCAGCTCACCAAAGGATCAAACCGGGCAACTTACTGAAAGGGGTTAGTCTAACAATCTAACATGCCTGAGTTCTTGGTTATCTTTGGAGGCCTGGAACCGGGGTATAATTTGAGCTAAAAGAAATTGAAGTTAAAACCAAAACACCTTTTATTAATATAAAAAGAGGAGTAAAACATTATTCGAAAGAACACCAAAAGAAAATCTGAAAATAATTCCCTTCATAATTCTAAATGTAACATAAAGTAAAACATTCCAGGTCTAATCCTATGAAAAAAATTCTCCTAATCGTCCTCAGAAGCTTCTGATGGGTTGGTCTCCACTTCACTATCAGACAAAACATAATGAGACTCTCGGCTGAACTTCCATTCTGCTAGATGAGCGTTGCACAAGACGGTATTCACCCTATATATCCATGGTGAGGTTCCATCTCGCTAAGCCTAGCCTTGATATCCTCTCGGAGACACTTAAAGAAAATCACAGCCACCTCTTCAGCCGTGCAGGATTGGCTGATATTCTCTAATGTACATACAAATTCCAAATGGTATTTTTGAAATGATAAATCCCTCTGCCTCACCAAGCTTATCCCCCAAGCAAAAACTGGTTGGAGTTAAGTCTAGCGTTCTTGGGACCAGACAAAATCTGCTGACAGTTGCACAGACTTCCCTCTCAAACCATTGACTGTGTAGAACGGGTCGGAACCCATCCATACACACAAGATGGTTTCTCTGTGACCATGGACCGTTTACGCAAAACTGGTGTGGCTTTATGGTGTGGTGGTTCCGATAGGCTGACCTGGTCTGACCCGGACCACACCTAGCTGACCAATCCTTTTCAACAACCCTCGCTTGGCCACAAACTAAGGGCGAGACTTAATATTGACATAGAAGGTCATGTGACTCTCTTAGAAGCAGTCTCCTGCATCAAGAGCATACGTCTCCAGCTACAAAAAATAAAAGTAATAAGAGAAACTATCAGACGGGTTGTCAATACAATGTTGTTGTGTTGGGGTTTGAAAACGTGTGAAAAGTTTTTTTAAAAAAAGTTTCTCAAACACGACAAAAATCATGGGTGTGATCCTCCTGGTCAATAGTGAAGTGGTGTCACCATTACAACTTGGTATCGGAATCCAGGAAAAGATCACTCTAGTTTTCATTTGGAGGATTGTGCCCATGATTTTTGCGTGTTTACAAAACTTAAGAAAAAAAATTTTGAAAGTTTTCAAACCAAACACAACTAGAATATATTGACAACCGGTCTAATAGTTTCTCTTATTACTTTAATTTTTTCTTGCTGGAGATGTATGCTCTTGACGCAGGAGCTGCTCGTAAGAGAGTCACATGACCTTCCATGGTCAAGATTAAATCTCACCCTTAGATCTGTGGCCAAGCGAGAGATCGTTGAAAAGGATTGGTCAGCTGGATGTGATCCGGATCAGATCAGGACCATGCCATAAAGCCACACCAGTTTCACATAAACGGTCCATGGTCACAGAGAATCTATCTTATGTGCCTGGATGGGTTACAGCTCATTATCACAGTCAATGGTTAGAGAGGGAAGTATGTGCAAGTGTTAGCGGATCTTGTCTGGTCCCAGGAACTCCAGACGTGACTCCCACCAGTTTTTGCTAGCGACAGGCTTGGGTGAAGTAGAGAGATTTATCATTGCAAAAATATCATTTGAAATTTATGCGTACGTTGGAGAACATCAGCCAATCCTACACGGATAAAGAGATGGCTGTGATTTTCTTTAAGGGTCTCCGAGATATCAAGGCTAGGCTTGGCGAGATGGAACTTCACTATGGTGACAGGGTGACACCGTCTTATTGAACGTTTGTCTAACAGAATGGACACTCAACCGAGAGTGTCATTAATGTTTTGTCTGATAGTGAAGTGGAAACTAACCCGTCAGAAGCTTCTGAGGATGATTAGGAGAATTGTTTTTCATAGGAGTAGACTTTAACTTTTTCAATTCATGTTGCATAGAGATTTTTACTTAGAATTATTTTAGATTTTCTGGTGTTCATTAAAATAATGTTTTACTCCTCTTTCTACATCAATGAAAGGTCTTTAAAATAACTCAAAATTGTTTTCGGCAACATTCCTTGAACTCTCTATTTTAAGCTTTTGTTTACTACCATTATACATTTTCTAACATTGACCTTCTCCAACCTGAATGGCGATTTGAAACTAGCAGTTTTAGCCTTGGTGTTTAATTCCAACATTTCAAGTTTGGTGACAACATTTTTAATTTGGTGTTAGTAGTTCTAGTCTTGGCTTCAAGTATTTAAATCAAGAACAATTTTTTTTTTTAAATAAAAATAACTCTCTTATTATGTTTAGAAAATCTCTCAAAACTTAACACCAAAGCATGTATCTCTCATTAATGCAACTTCATCAATGACTTATATATATATATATATATATATATATATATATATATCTTGCACAACTTTGCTAAGTCACTTTTTTTTTCCTATTAGAACTAGATAACTCCTAATCCAATAAGAAAATAACCAAAATCCTAACTAACTACCTAACCGAGTTGTTAAGTGTCTTGGGCCTTGGCCTTGTGTCGATGCTTATTCAACATTCTCCCTCTTAAGCTTCGACTTGATATTGGACATGTCTTGGACTCCTATCAAGCTTCTCATTTCGCTGAACTTGATCCTTGCCAGAGCTTTAGTAAAAACCTCGGCTTTCTGCTCAACACCCAGCACATGCTCCAGATCGACTAACTCTTTTTCAATGCACTCTCGTATAAAATGGTAGCGTTTATGAATGTGTTTGCTCTTACCATGAAATACAGGGTTTTTGGTGAGTGCCATTGCAGACTTGTTGTCGACCTTGATGACAATATGCTCGGTCTTCCACCCTGTGATCTCGCTCAAAAGATCTTGAAGCCAAATAGCTTGTTTAGCCGCCCCTGTTGCTGCCATGAACTCTGCTTCACACGAAGACATAGCCACTGTGTCCTGTTTCTGCGAACACCAAGTGATTGGTGACGATCCAAAGTAAAATATATGGCCGGTGGTGCTCCTTCCAACATCTGGATCTACATTGTGACTGCTGTCACTAAAGCCAATGATTTTCTTTGTTCCTCCATGACAAAACTTCAAGCTAAACGTGACTGTCCTTTTAAGATACCGTAGAATGTGCTTCATTATGTTACCATGCGATTTGCAAGGACTCTGCATATATCTACTAGCAACTCCAACATAAAAAGCCAAGTCTGTTCGTGTGTGTAACAAATACCTTAAGAACTCTACATTCCTTCGATAACACGTAGGATCTATCTCTTCTTCTTCTTGAGCCTTTGAAACTTTTAATCCGAATTCCATGGGAATTAAAGTCGGATTGCATGTTTCTAAGCCAGCCTCTGCTAGGATCCTTCATGCATAGCCTTCTTGTTTTATCTCGATTCCATCATTTCCTTGATGAACTTCGATACCAAGGTAGTAAGTCAGTTTTCCAAGGTCTGACATATCAAACTTGGTTGCCATCCCTGACCTGAACTAACTTATAACCTTGAGAGTGTTGCATGTGACAAACAAATTATCCACATAAATAGCAACTATCAGTAATGATGAGGTCATCGAACCATCACCAGACCCAAAGGTCGTTCCCGAGCTCAAAGAAGCACCAATGACCCGTTCCAAAGCAAGGAGGCTTAGAGAAGGGTTCAACTTGGCCGTAGAATCATTACTAAGTACTATGGAACTTGGAGATGCATTAAAAACCGTGCCTCAAGAGCATTACACGCGAGACAGCCCCAAAGGACCCGATTTAGACATAATGGAGGGTTTCACGCACTTGAGCCTCAAAGAGAGCCAGCCTCAACTAGAACCAGGTATACATGTTTACTTGGCAGGAAATGGAGCACGGAACACCAAGAATCTTGAAGAGACCGCATTGGACGCTCAAGATACAACCGTTTCAAGGCACGGGGCAGATAGCGAGCAAATAAGACAAGAAGAGGAACATGAAGCAGGACGCGAAGAGATACTTGAAGAACTCGCAGGACACAACGTTAGCAGGACTCTAGATGGAGAAAACATCAAGACTAACGAAGAAAACCTCAAGAATAACGAGCTATTCAACGACGAACCAAGCAAGCCCACAACCGGTCTTAACCAGGTATTTTCCATTTATACGATTCGTGCAGGTAACATGGGAGTATCCTAGTGGTGTCTAACACTAGAGAGCATCAGAGGTGCACGGAACAAGTCCAGAAAAGGTTGCACACGATTAGTTTCTTTTCCTTTTTATTTTTAAGTGAACTTTCCATTTTTGTGTCCAAATGAGACGCTTTGCCATTTTGCTTTATTTCTTTTTACAAGTCCTGTTGTTTTGAGTCCTTAGTGTCATTTTTTATTTCTTTGAGTCGAACCCTAGAAGGTTCAAAGCTGATGGACTGTTTGTAAAGCCCCACACGCAGCTCTTGTACTTTAACCTTTTTTCTCGATATCAATAAAATAACACCGTTTTTCTTAGCCTGGGCCTAAGAGCTTTCTTGCTTGATCTTGCGTGTGTGATTCACCAAGAGTTGAGCCGCAGTATCAGAGATTCTTTCATTGTCTCTGTGGTGCCTTCTATCCACTTCAAAACCCCTAACCGATCCCTCAAGAGAGAGCGTTAAAGCCAGCTTGACAGATCCCATATCGATTCAAGTCTTGTGGAAGCAAGCCTTGTCTTACCATCTTCACCCACAGATCCACACGAGAGAGCGTGAAAGCCAGCGTGTTGATCCCACCAAGCCATCGATTCCGCAATCATATAAGTCTCACCCGAGTCTTATATCATTTTGGTATCAGAGCCAAAGGTTCCTGCCTTTGGTTTTCTATTCCTTGCATTCTTTCATTTTATTCATACTCGTTTAGTTTATTTTGATTCATAAAACCGAAAACCCTAGAAAAATTTAATTGCTTTCGTATTCATTAGTCAAAAAAAAAAAAAGAAGAAATTTGTTGCATCGTTAGTTTTAAGACCATTGATTTCTGTTCTTTGCAATCTACAATTTGAAAACCCTAAAAAAAGTTATTTAGTTTCATTTAATGTATCGAGTCACATAGTTTTTGTTACTATTACTATTCGGTGGTACTTTTGACTAGTTGTTGTTTTTGTTGAGTACAAGGACACCAAGTGAGATTAGCTAGCATCATGGCCGAAGGAGAACCTGTTCCGAACGATGCTCTTGTTCAAATGATGACCGCAATGAGAGAGGAGCTGAGGAACATGACTCAACAAATGGGAAACATTCATCAAGAACTTGGAGCAAGAATAGACCGAGTTGAGGCACAACCAAGGAGAGCCCCAGTTCGAGGAGCACAAGTGCCAGCCGGTGAAGCGAGTGATGATGAAGAGATGCCTGAGTTGGAAGATGAAATTCCACCCGATACTCTTCAGCATCGACAACAGAGGAGACCGGACCCTCTAAGGAGAAATCCAGATAGGGTAGTAGATACCCGAGAACAAACTCATGATCTCAAGCTAACGCCTCTTACTTTTGCAGGAAAATCAGATCCCGAGGCATATTTTGATTGGGAGAGACGGCTTGAGCACATCTTTGAGTGCTATGGATACGTTGCAAGAAGGTGGCTGCTGCGGGTACACAGCTCACTGACAATGCCTTAGCGTGGTGGGACAGAAACGTGGCCGAGAGAAGAAGGCAACGATTTGGACCGGTCACGACTTGGAGCGATATGAAATTTCTCCTACGACTTAGGTATGTACCTGAACACTATCATAGAGACTTACAAAAGCGTTTTCGCAAATTGTCTCGGGGAAACAGAAGCGTAGATGAGTATTTTGAGGAATTTGAGAAACTGATGAACTCATTGGAGTTAGAAGAATCAGAGGAAGCCTTGATGACACAGTTTATTGACGGTTTGCAAGAGAGAATAGCAAGAAAGGTTGAGAGAGCTCAATATAGTGGGTTGCACGAGCTATTGCATCTTGCCGTTCAAGTGGAGCAACAAATCAAGTGCAAGACCGCTCTTAACAGCCGCAGCCGCACGAGCCAACCCTGGAACGCTAGCAGTTCTAAGCCAGTAGATAAAGGCAAGGGCGTGGAGATCTATTCAAGATTCAAGGGCAAAAGCACAGAGGCTCCCAAGTTTAATCGAGCCGAGCAAGGTAAGTCCTCTAATACCACATCGAGAATTCGTGATATAACGTGTTTTAGGTGTCAAGACAGGGGTCATATGTCGAGGGAGTGCCCAAACTAACGAGTCATGATCATTACGCCAAGTGGTGACTATGAATCTCAAAATGAGCAACTATCAATACCTTTTAGCATCGGCAAATACCAAGATCAAGTCACTTGTGATGTGGTGCCAATGCAAGCAGGGCATCTATTACTCGGTAGACCGTGGCAATTTGACCGAGCCACAACCCACAATGGCCGCACCAATCATTATTCTTTCATGCACAAGGAGCGTAAGTATAATCTTGCGCCTCTCAGCCCCACCGAGGTACATGAAATGCAAGTGCACATGAACAAAGAAACCGAGCTAAGTAAAAACAGTCTTTACTTATCATGTAGTGATATTTATAAAACCATGAGTGCCAATGGCACCGTGCTACTGATGATGTTTAAGGAGTGTTTAAGCGCAGGTCTAGGTGATTCTGAGATACCTCCTGAGGTACAAGGTATTTTGAACAAGTTTAAGGATGTATTTCCCGAAGAGATACCACCAGGGTTACCACCACTTCGTGGAATAGAGCACCAAATTGACTTAGTTCTCGGTTCAGCATTGCCCAATAAGCCAGCTTATAGAATAAATCCCGAGGAGACTAAAGAGCTAGAGAGACAAGTACGAGACCTAATGGACAAGCGTTATATCCGTGAGAGTCTCAGTCCTTGTGCTGTGTCAATTCTCTAAGTACCAAAGAAAGATGGTACATGGAGAATGTGTGTGGACTGCCGTGCCATCAACAACATCACCATCAAGTATAGGCACCCGATTCCACACCTAGACGACATGTTGGACGAGCTAAGCGGATCCACAATCTTCTCAAATGTGGACTTAAAGAGTGGATACCACCAGGTTCGAATGCGTGAATTAGATGAGTGGAAAACCGCATTTAAGACCAAACAAGGCTTGTATGAGTGGTTAGTTATGCCTTTTGACTTGACTAATGCACCAAGCACCTTCATGCGCCTTATGAACCAGGTTCTTCGAGCTTATATAAGTAAATTCGTAGCTGTTTATTTCGATGATATACTTATATATAGTAAGAACCTTGATGACCATCTTCAACACCTCAAACTAGTGCTTAAAACACTTCGCAACGAAGGCCTATATGCTAACCTTAAGAAGTGCACATTTTGTACTAACAAGCTTGTTTTCTTAGGTTTTGTAGTAAGTGAACAGGGATTACAAGTAGACGAGGAGAAGATCAAGGTAATACGCGAGTGGCCTACACCAACTACAATCGGTCATGTTAGAAGTTTTCATGGTCTAGCCAGCTTCTACAGGCGATTTGTACGAGATTTCAGCACGGTGGCCGCCCCACTCACCGCGGTGATCAAGAAAAACGTGTCGTTCACATGGGGACCAGCCCAAGAAGCATCTTTCGAAGCCATGAAGAGCCGGTTAACACAGGCACCTGTCTTAGCCTTACCCGACTTTGAAGAAATGTTTGAGGTGGAGTGTGATGCCTCAGGGGTGGGAATTGGAGCTGTACTACAACAAAGAAAGAGACCAGTGGCATTCTTCAGTGAAAAACTTAGTGGAGCCACACTAAATTATCCCACCTACGACAAGGAATTATATGACTTAGTCCGAGCATTGGAGACCTGGCAGCATTACTTGTTGTCCAAAGAATTCATCATTCACACTGATCACGAGACCTTGAAGCACTTAAGAGGACAAACCGCACTTAAGAGACGCCATGCTAAATGGCTGGAGTTCATAGAGACTTTTCCTTATGTGATCAAGTACAAGAAGGGACAAGAGAATGTGGTGGCCGATGCGCTCTCAAGAAGACATACATTGATCTCTACAATGGAGGCCAAGGTACTCGGTTTTGAGCATATCAAGGAGCTATACAAAGAAGATCCAGAGTTCGGAGAAGCTTATCAAGGACATGGCAAGGGGGCTTGTACCTCATATCACCTACACGATGGGTTTCTTTTCCGAGACAAGAGACTATGTATTCCACAAGGGTCTCTGAGGGAGCTATTGCTGAAGGAAGCACACGGTGGAGGTCTCATGGGTCACTTTGGAGTGGACAAGACACTAGCCATAATCGCTGACCACTTCTTTTGGCCACCTCAAGAAAGATGTGGAGAGACACTGCTCACGATGTGTTACTTGTCATAAAGCCAAGTCCAGGTTACATCCTCATGGTCTATATTTACCTTTACCTATCCCTAACGCACCATGGGTGGATATTTCTATGGATTTTGTACTAGGCTTACCCAAGATCAGGCACAAAGACTCGATCTTTGTTGTTGTTGACCGCTTCTCAAAAATGGCGCATTTCATACCCTGTGACAAGACTAATGATGCCACACAAACCGCAGATTTGTTCTTTAAAGAGGTGGTGAGATTACATGGAGTGCCGAGAACGATTGTCTCTGACCGAGAATCTAAGTTCTTAAGCCACTTTTGGAGGACCCTTTGGAGAAAGCTTGGCACCAAGCTTCTATTCTCTACAACTTGTCATCCTCAAACGGATGGGCAATCTGAAGTGGTAAACCATACACTATGTACTTTACTTAGGTTCACTCTTGGTTGAAATTTGAAAACATGGTTAGATAGTTTACCTTTCATTGAATTTGCTTATAATCATGCTACTCACTCGGCTATTAAGATGTCTCCTTTTGAAGTTGTGTATGGATTTAATCCACTTACGCCTTTAGATCTCTCGCCAATACCCCAAGCTGAACAAGTTAATCTAGACGGCCTTAAGAAAGGAGAGTTTGTAAAAAAGATACATGAAAAGGCCCGAGATAACATAGTGAAGAAAACAGAGGAATACAAAAGGAGAGCTGACAAAGGACGCAAGAAACTTGTATTCGAACCAGGAGAGTGGGTCTGGCTACATATGAGACCAGAAAGGTTCCCGCAGCAAAGGAGTTCCAAGCTTGCCCCTCGCGGAGATGGACCTTTCAAAGTGCTGGAAAAGATCAATGACAATGCCTACCGATTGGAACTCCCAGGTGAGCTAAACATTTAACATAGTTTTAATGTTGCTGATTTGTCTCCTTATGATGCAGGTGAATCAGTTTGGAGGACAAAACCTCTCGAAGAGGGAGGGAATGATGAGGTCATCGAACCATCACCAGACCCAAAGGTCGTTCCCGAGCTCAAAGAAGCACCAATGACCCGTTCCAAAGCAAGGAGGCTTAGAGAAGGGTTCAACTTGGCCTTAGAATCATTACTAAGTACTATGGAACTTGGAGATGCATTCAAAACTGTGCCCCAAGAGCATTACACGCGAGACAGCCCCAAAGGACCCGATTTAGACATAATGGAGGGTTTCGCGCGCTTGAGCCTCAAAGAGAGCCAGCCTCAACTAGAACCAGGTATACATGTTTACTTGGCAGGAAATGGAGCACGGAACACCAAGAATCTCGAAGAGACCGCATTGGACCCTCAAGATACAACCGTTTCAAGGCACAGAGCCGATAGCGAGCAAATAAGACAAGAAGAGGAACATGAAGCAGGACGCGAAGAGATACTTGAAGAACTCGCAGGACAACGTTAGCAGGACTCTAGACGGAGAAAACATCAAGACTAACGAAGAAAACCTCAAGACTAACGAGCTATTCAACGACGAACCAAGCAAGCCCACAACCGGACCGTCTCGTTGATCCCGATGTCCCAGTTCCACCGTTGCTGCAAAATAAAACAAATAATTATATAAACAAAATAAAACAAAAATTAAATTTAAATTAATTTGAAAAAATATAAAGAAGATTTAAAAAACATTACCGCGAAGCACTTGTACCAGGTGTCGAACGTCTCTTGCGACACCTTGCTCCAATTGTAGTCCGGCTCAACGAAATGACTCTTAATTGTGTCGGAAACGCTCCGACCGACACAATTATCCAAGTTAAACCTATGAAAAAAAAAACAGATTACATTAATATTTAAGTGAATTAAAGCATTAATTAAAAAAAAATAAAAAAATGAAAAGTTTACTTACCAATAAGAACCTGGTTCTGCTTTTCCGGGAACCAGACGTCGTAAAGCCCCCCGTCCCGGGAGGGCTAGTAAGTCCTCAACCGTAAATTAAGCATACGGTTGAGGAGGGAGGGGTACCGCCGGTTCGGCAGCCGGTGGTGGAGGTGGTGGTGGAGGCGGTGGTGGAGACTACTCCGCAACGGTATTCGGAACCTGGGAGGCTCCGGAAGATGAAGGGACATCGATCCCGGTATTTTCTGAGGCAGACGTCTGGGAAGAGTGTCCGTCCGCCATGAAATTGATGTAGTGCGTCCTCCGTCGAGTCATCGTCTGCAAAACCGGAAAAATATTATTTTTCAAATTACATATAAATTTATAATTAGGATCCTAAATCTAACATATTCTGATCCTAAATCTAACAAATTCCGAGCCTAAACTAATTCCCGACCTAAACCGTTTGAATTTCTAAACTAAATAAAATAAATCAGATATTAATTAAAATAAAATAAAAAATTACCTTAAAGGGTGTAGAGGTTGCGTCTAAGGAAGGAGGAAGCAGAGAGAGGAATAAGAGAAATGAACGACGAAATGAGGAAGGGATGCGTCCATATATATAGAATTTATATTCGTCGTAAAGTCGACGTAATTTTACGACGACTTTACGACGAATTCGTCGTAAATTCTTCGTAGAGGTCCCACCGTACCACAAAGCGAATAAGACAAACACACGTGGCTGTATCTCGGCTTTGCGACGAATTTACGACGATCAGGGTTAGTCGTCGTAAAATCGTCGTAATTTTACGACGATTTTACGACAAATCCGTATAAATCATAAAAATTATAACGGCTGTGTATTTACATATCGTCGTAAAATTGTCGTAATATTACGACGATTTTACGATAGTTTAGACCAAAACTGATGAAATTCAAAAATTGAAACATACAAGCATGTCTATACATGATAAATGTGGTCTGTATAACTTTTTAGCATGTTTACATAACTTAAAGAAGAATTTGGTAAGATCTAAGATAAATCCTTACATCTTCCCTAAATGTATATAACACCTTAAGATTACTTGATAAACACATATATGTCAAATTTTGAAATTTTGTTTTTTGTTTAGAAAGTTGTTTTACATAATGAGATGGTAAGCCATATCATTCTTTTCATCTAAATCTCCCCTGAACCCCAGAAAAGATTAATTATAAGATTTAGGGGTTACATTTCGTCGTAAACTCGATGGTATGTTACGACGATTTTACGACGAATCACACCCATTCGTCGTAAATTCGTCGTAACATAAACCACATATCTACAAGTTCTTTAATCTTATACTACAAAACCTTATATAATACATCAGTTACTCAGGAAAATGCACCCAAAAACCATTCTGTAAGTTGGGAAAGCTAAACCCTATAGGGTTTAGGGTTTGCATGTTACGACGAATTTACGACGATTTCTAAATAATCATCGTAAGTTCGTCGTAATAGTCAACATGACAAAGTCAACACTTAAACAAATTCTCTTTTCAATAATTGTCTTTCATTTTTAACACATTTAAATTTAAACAAATTCTCTTTTCAACACTTAAACAAATTTATCAAATTTGACAAATGTGACATTGAAACGTTCAAAGCATGCAAATAAATGTCATCGTGTTTAATTAGTCTTCAACATTTTCCTCGTCGTCCTCATCATCTTCATCATCACTGCTTGTTTGAAATTCGTCAGCACCTTCTTCAGTTTC